GCTTGAACGGGGCCAGCATGAGACCCAGACTTAAACCAATTAGAGCACTTTATTCCCTTTGCACAGAGACTGTTTCACAGAACTTTTATTCAAATAAATGATAGAGAAGAAAAACTCTCCTATGTCAAGCCATTCATTTTAGGAGATTTGAGGCGAAGTTGCTGTAGCTATCTTACCATCGCAGGCAGACAGCCTTGAGGTGCCAAAAGCCACTATGTAGAGCCTAACAATAATGCCAAGATGATGGTATGCAAAGAAGAGCAAAGAAACCAAATCCTGCTGTCTTTGTTTGAACACCGAATCCAGTTATACTCACCTGATTTTTTGGTTATGGGAGCCAATTTTTTTTTCTTAAGACAAATTGGATTGGGTTTTCTGTCATGTGTCTAGAGTCCTACCAGAGACATTACTATAATTATTTCTTTTCCTAGATTCTAAGAATGAGCATTTTCTGATACTATCCCCTCTTTACTCACAACCTTAAAAAAACTAATCTATTTTTAGTGTTCCAATTATCTTTATAACACTATCTCATCCAATTTTCTCTCTTGAGCTATATTTTCTACTGCTACTGCCCATTTAATACATCTTTCCATAAACCCAACAAACATGAATAAAAATAAAGTCCTGTTTCAAAATGGTCCTTTCCAAAAAACTGTTCCCCTTCCTTACTTCCTATTTTTTCTGCAAAATAGGTGAGAGTTTCAACAAGGTTAATGTATTTGGAGGCTTATGATATTCATTACTGTCTGTCCTGTGTCTATATCCAATTTATTAATCTTGAACAATATTCTCTACTTATACATAACTTGATGTTTATTTATTCATTTTATTACTTAATATCTAATTAACTCAAATATTTACAATTACAAATTTAAAATTTTTAAACATTTACCTGCAAGTTAATTTCATTTTATGAAATGTTGTGACCACATTAGAAGGCAAACAAAACATATCTACACTAATAAAAGAGAAAGATGCAAATTGACCATACCTTCACAATGCCCACAAGCCAATCAGGAGTGAGTATGCAAATTAACCCAACAAAGATGGAACGCTAATTTGCATATGCAGGCGCCAAGCTGCCAGGGCAGGTCGCTTGCTTCGTCAAGGATGCAGGCATTGCGCACCGCCCCAGCCGCTCTGGGCCTCTGGGCAGCGTGGGAAGGCGGAGAGGCGGCTCCGGGCTGGAGCCAAGGCAGAAAGGTGGCTCCGGGCCCGAGCAAAGGCGGTGCCGGCAGCCAGGGGAAGGAAGGCCCATTCTTGCACGAATTTCGTGCATCAGGCCTCTAGTATTATTATAATGACAAAATCGTGCACTTAAATTGCAAATGTGTATTTTAATTCTAATTCCAACTTTTTTTCTGAACTTATTTCTCCCTGCAGAGTGCAATTTTACTTTTAAAATATAAAAAGTGCCCTAACCGGTTTGGCTCAGTGGGTAGAGCGTCAGCCTGCAGACTCAAGGGTCCCAGGTTCGATTCTGGTCAAGGGCATGTACCTTGGTTGTGGGCACATCCCCAGTAGGGAGTGTGCAGGATGCAGCTGATCGATGTCTCCCTCTAATTGATGTTTCTAACTCTCTATCCCTCTCCCTTCCTCTCTGTAAAAAAATCAATAAAATATATTTTAAAAAATAAAATATAAAAGTAAGGGTTCTTTTCTGGGTATGCCTGAAATGCCTGAAATTATAGATAATTGTTGTTAGTAGATGATTTTGGACCATAAAGATTAGAAAGTGTTAATTTCATGAGAAGCATCCAAAGTATTGGCAGGGATCACCAGTCTTTATTTCTTGTGACCCTAATCTCTTCTCAAATTATTTCTTATTCTGAGTGTCTTATTTTCACTCTAAATTTAAGTAGCTATTTGTTATGAATGTCTTTTCTTCATTATATAACCTGGTTTAAGTCCATTTTGAAAACATTTGTTTTGAGTGGGGCATGATTAGGTTCAACTAAATCTAAAGCCACAGTTACTTTATTGATATTTTATAATATGTTTCTATCGATTTCAGAGAAAGGAAGGGAGAGGGAGGGAGAGTGAGAGGGAAGGAGAGAGAGAGAGAGAGAGAGAAACATCAATGATGAGAGGGAATCATCCATCGGCTGCCTTCTGCAGGCTCCCTACTAGGGATCAAGCCAGAAACCTGGGCATGTGCCCTGACTGGGAATCAAACTTTGGCCTCCTGGTTCATAGGTTGATGCTCAAACACTGAACCACACCGGCTGGACTACATTTCTTATTAGTCATTAAGACTTACCATTATTACAGCAATTATCAAAAGCAGTAAAACTAGGAATTATTTGTGATTTCTCTTTCTTCCTATCCCTTCATCACTAATTTAAAGATTCAAACAAAGAATAGTATCTGACTTTAAGGGTTTACACTCTCAGCTTCGTACATTAAAATCTATAAAAACTACAGATTTTATTTCTTCCAAAATATGTCAGGATTTTTTCCATTCTACTACATAGAGACTTCTCACCTCCCACATGGAGGACTATACAGTAATAATCTAACTAAAGCATTCCTGATCTGTCTCTTTTGCTTTTAACACATCCCACATAATTACTGTTTTTGTTGTTGTTTTTACCAAGTCATTCCTTAGCACAAAATTTTTCTAATAGATGCTTCCTTCATACGACATCTAAAATCCTTGACATGGCTTTCAAGCTAACCTTTATAAGCTAACCTTCTAACTGGACATCCCATTATACATCCATAGTACAATATCAAATGCTTATAGCATGTGTGCTGGATGAACAATCATAAACAATCCTATGAGATAGGTATTACATGCTGGTTTTATAAATAAACTAGAGGCCCAGTGCACAAAATTCATGCACGGGGTTGGGGGGGGGGGCGGTTTCCCCTCAGCCCAGCCTGCAACCTCTCCAATCCGGGACCTCTCGGGGGATGTCCAACTGCCGGTTTAGGGGACTGCCAGCAGTCGGACATCCCTCTCACAATCCAGGACCACTGGCTCCTAACTGCTCACCTGCCTGCCTGATCTCCCCTAACTGCCCCCCCCCCGCTGGCCTGGTCACCCCAACTGCCCCCCCTGCCAGCCAGTGCGCCCCCTAATGCCCCCCCATGCCGGCCTGGTCACCCCCAACTGCCCCTCCTGCGGGCCTGGTCTCCCCACGCAGCCTGCTGCTCGGTCATTTGGTTGTCCCTCACCAACCCCCCTGCCAGCCTGGTTGCCCCCACGCAGCCTGCTGCTCAGTCGTTTTGTCGTCCCTCACTAATCCCCCTGCCAGCCTGGTCGCCCCATGCTTCCTGTTCGGTCGTTTGTTCGGTTGCAATGGTCACTTAGGCTTTTATATATATAAATACTCTCAAATAAATATTATATATAAATATTTATATTTATAAATACTCTCTATTTATATATATAAATACTCAATTTGGTCTAGTCTTTGCTTTTTAAAAAAATATATTTTTATTGATTTCAGAGAGGAAGGGAGAGGGAGAGAAAGATAGAAGCATTAATGAAGAGAATCATTGATCAGCTACCTCCGGCATGCCCCCCCACTGGGGACCTCGTCAACAACCCCAGCATGTGCCCTGACCAGGAATCGAACCTTGACATTCTGGTTCAAAGGTCGATGCTCAACCACTGAGCCACACTGGCCGGGCTTGTCTTTGCTTTTTCATAGTTAATATCCCTCCAACGCAGGTTTTGCAATGTTTTACAAACTTCGAAAACCCAAAAGATTTCAGAAGCTCTCAGAGAGAATCCCTATCTATACCTTCTAGTATGCCTACCACCCAATTTTTTCCCCTTCAGCTTTCTTGTCTGTAGTTTGTCTTACAAAAACAATAAATAGCCCTAGCTGGTTTGGTTCAGTGAATAGAGCGTGGGCCTGTGGACTGAAGGGTCCCAGGTTCCATTCCAGTCAAGGGTACATGCAACTGGGTTGTGGGCTGATCCCCAGTAGGGGCGTGCAGGAGGCAGCCAATCAGTGATTCTCATCATTAATGTTTCTCTCTCTCTCTCCCTCTCTAAAATCAATAAAAATATATTTAAAAAAAACAATAAAGTTATAATATCAAGTCAATGCTTATTGAAACCACACCCATCTCCCAAGCTCACCAGATTCATGCACTTGCAGTGAGTGTCCACACCCTTCTTTGAGAATTAATGAACCTGACTTTATGCTCCTCAGGGCAAGAGTCGTAATACTTACTTAGAATGACAATATAAATTCATTCAGAAAGCAGATTTATTGATGCTTAGTATGCCAGGCACTAAGTGTGCAAAATTTAAAGAAAACAAGAGGCTCCTACTTCTCAAAGTCAAGGATATAAGTACTTATTGGGGGATTAAGACCACGTTTGAGCATCAGATCAAAGTTCTGGATCAAAGTTCTGGAAAAATTAACTCCCCAGAAAAATGCACAAACACAGAATTTTGTACAATTTGGGAAAGGGGGAGCGGCTATGAACTCCTCTGAAGCCCAATCACCACCAATCACCAGATCCACAGACTCCAGGTTAAAAATTCACTACCAACATAACTAAGTTCTCTGGGAACAGGAATACTTGCTTAATAATTCTGATTATGCCTTACACAGTGCGCTGTATACAAAAGCCACTTTAGAAATATTTGCTGATCGATTTTCTCTTAAAATCAACCAGATGACATCGACAAATCGCTCCTTCTCTGGACTTTCAAAAACCCACCACCACCGCCCTTCACTCATGACACTAACGACTAACACCAATAACTCGAAATCATTCTTCCGTTATTCACATGTGGACTACTCGACCATTCACCAATTTAGGTCTTCCCTCCTCCTCAGAGTCCCTCGACTCCCTCCAAATTCAGGGCTCCCTCCGTTGCATCCCGAAAGCTAGGTCTACTGCCCACAGGGAGACGGAAAATAACTGATGCTTCACGTCACACACATCCTCAAGGCAGGAAACGTGGGATCCAGTGCTTGCCACAACTTCCAAACCCTTTCTTCACCACGTCCAAAGGTGAAGAGATTTACCTTAAATCCCAGGAAAGCGATGGCGACTGCTTTCACAGAGCCGGGACCAGTTACCAAGATGCTTCCCGACCGCCCTGTCACCATAGTGACTTCTAAAAAGCTACGCGCCCTCCCTCTTCTCGCGATACTTCCCGGCCACGCGCCTTGCGAGCGGGCCCGAGACCCCGCCCCCCAGAACGCCCGCCCTCCCGGTGTAAGGTCTGTCATTGGACGACTGAGCGCTGCCTCCAGCTGCGGGCGGAACCTTACTCTTTATTTTCTTCCCCTTTCAAAAACTCGCCCTGTCGGGTATTCTCGGTAATATTTTTAAAAGACTGCTGTTTCCGTAGGTCCCAAGGAAAATACTGTTTCGAAACAGTGTTTTCACTTAGTAGAGACGGCCCACGTCGCCTGAGTTTCCCCCCCACCCCTCCCCGCCCTCCAGGAGTCGGCGCATGCGTGTAAGCGCCCAGAAGATGGCGAAGATAATCGCCGCACTTTTTTTCAAATAAGTGGCTCCCAGAAAGCATTGCGCACATTTGTAACGAATTTCCGTTCGAGTTTGTATTTTAGGCGCCATTTTCGAGTGAAGGACCCGGAGCCGAAACACCGGGAAGAGCGGGGGTCTGCACCGCCGTTCCCAGCCTCGATCCGAGTGGACCGCCCCGCAGGTAAAGTGCCTCCCTTCCTGACCAGGTTGTCATGCTCTCACTTCCTGCCCCGTCCGCGCGCCCGGAGCGTCGAGGCCTCGAGCTGGAGCCGCCGAAGTCCGCGCCGAGCTGTCGCCGGGAGATCGCTCCCGCTGTCACCCCTCCCCCCCGCGGCCGCTCCCCGGCGGCCGGGCTTTCCGCGCGCGTCTCCCGGGCGCCGCTTCTCGGAGCTACTTCGGCTTTCGCGCGGGGCGTGGGGGTGGGGGGCTGGGGGGTTCTGAAGCCTCGCGGGTCGCACCCGTCCTGCTGTCCGTCGGGGGAAGGGCGTCGCCCCCGACCCGTCTCTCTTCTCCCGAGGGACTGGTCGCCCGGTCTTGGCCCTTCACTGGCGACCTTTCTAGTTGATTATCCGACGGGATTCCGCTGCGGGCGCCGGAGGGACAGACCCCTGTCGCCCCCGGATGATGGAACCGGGGCGGGCGCTGCCGGTGTCCGATTTGGACGCCGCGAGTGGTGGAGCCCAGCGTCCGCCCGCCCTCTCTCCCTCCCTTCCTCCCTCCCGGCCGGACTGTAGGGGAGACTTCGGGGCCGCGCGCGAGCTGTCCGCGGGCGCCCGGAGCCAATTGGCAGGGCGAGGACAGTGGGCGGCGAGGCGCCCCGTGGGGCTTCCGCTCTGGGGAAGCGTTCGCAGCCCCGCAGACCTGCCGTTTGCACGGACTCCTCTACGTCTGTGCACCGGCACCCCGGCCCCGAGAGCGAGGGGATGCTCGTCCCCGCCGGCGTCTGCAGGTTAACTTTCGCTTAGAAACAGCGATCGCGTGTACCTGTGAGCTTCACTCCGCGGGCGGCGGCGGGCGGGGCATTTAAGACACAGAAAAGGACCTAAGCGGTTGCCCCATCGTTGCTGGAACGCCCGGCAC